TTTTAAGGAAAATGCTATAGGTCTCAAATTTTTTACCAAACAAATGACTTAATATTTGGGGTCCACAAAATTATAGACCCCACACCTATGTAAGACATATGTTAAGAAGAAATTTGATCATTTAATGTCTTCTTAACATATGCCTGAACAAAAGCTAACATATATACACATATTTGCAGTTGTGATTTTTGTTCATTTTTAGTATTTTTTTATGTCTGTCTAGCTTAAAAAAGATCTCAAATGTAATTTTTTTTTGAAAAATCCCTAAAAAATAAATAAAATTACTAAAGAAAAAGAAATAAAAAAGTTTCTTTTTTCCTCTAAGAGGATTTTTGTGTGTGTCTGTTTGTTTATTCTGGTAGGACTAAAAAGTGAATTTTTATTTGAATTAAAAAAAATAAATTTATTAAAGACGAAGAAGTAAAAGAAAAATGTTTAAAAAAAAAGTAATTTCTTAACCCGTTTTGAAAGTGTGTTGCGAAGGACTACAAATTTCCAATAACTAAAATTAATTTCCGTTTGAGATTTGTCCGATTCATATGGAAGGGATATTTTGCATGAGTCATAAAATTAGTCAAAATGCGTATAAATTGATCCAAACACCTGATCATAAAAAATAAAAATAAATAAATAAACTAGCTATATAACATTCATTTATGTCAAGTTTTTTATCCATTTTTTAAGATTATGAAAAAGTGCAGTGTTAAAAAAAGAAAAAGGAAAAAAAAATCATGGGTAAATTACATTTATATCTTTTGAAGTTTAGATTTAATACATATTATCTCGTGATGTTTGCAAAATTACACTAACCCCCATCAATGTAATTATCTAGACGGAATTAACGTTGGTATCAAAAAGAAATTAAATTCATGCATTTTCTCTTTTCTTGCTTTGCTTCACTTTTTCTGGGGTTTTTTTTTTCCAATATATTTTTTGTTTTACTAAGAGTTGTTACCTTTTATACAAGTAGGAGAGTTTGTGAAATAAGACTATTAATCCTTTTATATTCTCACCCTTGTAGTTTTTTTTTCAGTTCAAAAAAACTACAAGGGTGAGAATATATTTTTTCTAACATCAGGAAATGGGATGTAATCAGATTAAATCTCAAGGGCGTTAGTGTAATTTACCCAAAAATGATTATACAAAATGATATGAAGTATTGAAAACGGTCCTTTCATGTAAAAACATGAACTTGTCACAATGAGTCTTAAGGCTTGTTTTGATAATTAAAAAAAAAACTATTGAAAACGGTCCTTTCATGTAAAAACATGAACTTGTCACAATGAGTCTTAAGGCTTGTTTTGATAATTAAAAAAAAAACTAATTTATTGATTTATTGATTTATTTACGTCATATCACTTCTATCTTTCTTTCTTTTTTCTTTTTTTTTTGTACATTTAAGAAAAATTAAAAAGTTTTTTTTTTTTTTTTTTTTTTTTTTTTTAAATTATAGTGGTTTAACTTCTTTTTTTTTTTTTGTGTATCATTGTCCCATCATTTTGAAAGAATATATTTTTTTTAAATTATAGTGGTTTAACTTTTTTGTGTGAAAATATAATGAGGAGCAGTTCTAAGAACTAGAAAACGGTCCAAAATTTGAAATCAATAACAAAGATTTTATTAATGAGGTGCCCACAATAACAACTTTAAATGTATAACTTGGGAACGTGCTATAGCACAGGGCTACGAGGGCCTGTGAGTTTTATCTTCGGCCTATGTTGTTGATCAAATCGTTCCTAGTGCAAGGTTTATCAAATAAATTATTTATAAAAAAAATTAAATTAATTGAATATCTATAATTTTAAGATACAACTACATTTGTTTTTAAAAAATATATGATTAAAATAATTTTGATAATTTATTACAAAACAGTTAAGACTTGATCATTAGATTACACATGTCTAATTCTCTTGATTTTTTTGTTTATAAATGATATATTCAACGAATTTTGTAATATGAATAGCTCAAATTAGTAAAATAAATCCAAAACAAATCTCCATTCGAACCCATACCACAAAGAAAAATGTTTCAGAACCCCAAGACCCCTAGTGGGGTGTGATTGGCCAGAATTTTTTTTTTTTTTTTTTTTCTGATAAATTTGTACTGACTAAGAATGAGATGTATGTAGGAAAATGTTACATGTCTGATGGCCTTTTTAAGATAAATGTAATGACCGTTGTACCCTCAATTATTAATAAAAACAAAAATGACTTAGACCCCCAGTGGGAGTGACCTCCACCACCCCCACTTTTTTTTTTTTTTGTTCTCCCCTCTTTGACCCCCACGTGTATGTGGGGGGTGGTGAGGCCATCCCAAGTGGGGGTCTGTAGCATAACTCTGTCCTAAATATACACCATAAATTTGATAGATCTGAGATTCCGAACATCTCCTAAGTTTGTTTTCCTAATTTATAGAATTTCCTAATGACAACAAATGCAACTTGATCCCACGTGCGAGGAAACTATTTTCCTAACCCATGAGACATCCATACCATACTACAATAGAGCATCATTATCAAATTATTTTGATAGGCAAATTCTTTTATTTTTTATTTTATTTTATTTTATTTTTATTATTTTGAAGTTGAGAACCAGTACAATAGGAAATACGAATAAAACAAAGATAGTAGCAAAAAAGTACGATGGCGATGAAAAATTTATCTACTAATTAGTCGGCATAAATACCAAATTAATCATATATTGAAGTCAAACCAGATAATAAAATTAACAAGATGATACAATAGAGTATTACTATCGTTGCACTAAAGCCAAACATGTTTCTCAATCGATATTTTTTTTGAATAAGTACTTGTAACTATTACAATAGCCTCGTTTGGTAAAATTTTGAAAAAGTGATTATAACTTATACCTTAACAGTTTATAGCTTATAAATGTGAACATAAGCTGATTTTTTACTTCTAAATTAAGTTTCTCCTCCCCCACTCAAAGAATAAGTTGATTTTTTACTTACAAAAAGGTATAAGCTGTATTGTTAAGCTGAACCAAACACATCAAAATAGCTTAAATTAAGCTAAAAACTGAAATAAAGTAGAAATAAACCCTACCAAACAGGCCAATAATACATCATTATCCTTGCGTCAAGGCCAAACATGCTTCTCAATAAACTAAGAAAGCTCAACCATTATATATCTTGATAGTATATGGGTGTTATGTCTCTTCATAATCTTCATTGTCTCAATCATTACATATCTTTCTTTACTCATTTCATTTGAAAAGTTTCCTAATCATTCCTAAAAAAGAATAACCAAATTTCTGTCTACGTATCTATGGAATCTGTGAGGGTGCTCCACTATGTTGTGAGCTCGTGGGGTTTATTTTCAAATATATTTTGTTGATTCGATCTGTTGATATTATAGGATTCGTCGCGTAACTTATTCATGAAAAAAATCAAATTAATTAAATATCTGTAATGAATAACAAGATCACATTTACATTTAAAATAAATAAACGGTTAGCATAATTTTAATAATTTTTTTAAAACGATTATGGTCCGATCATGGGACTACACATGTTTAATTAACTTTATTTTTTATATGAATGATATACTTAACGAATTCTATAACATAAACGGATTATCAAAATAAAATCGATACAAGCCTGAGGTGCTGTGACAGCACCATTCCCTTCTCCATATATCTACAAGTACACATAAATGCAAATCAATTTAAGGATAACTCATTATTGGTTTGATTATTGTTCCAATAATTGATAGGGTATCTAATTAATTAATTTATCTGTCTAGCCGATAAAAGCATGTAATCTTTTAATTTTTTTTTAAGAATTTTATTTATTTTTTGAAATTTCTATATGTGAATAATAAAATTCATGCAATATGTTAGTTTGAAGATGAATGATCAAGTTCTAGAGGTCAAATGGGAGGGGGAGGGGGGAATGTCGGTTGAAATTGTCAAAAAGGATATTGTTTTCTTAACTGAACTAATTATAAGATATTATATAAATTAATTGAGCAAAATATTGATGAATTTGATACATACAAAAGATTATATGTTGAGTTAGAAAATTTGATTTATAATTAGTTATTTTTGTAAATTTGGGCTAACCTTCGCATATTAAATAAAAAATTTAAAAGTGCAAGTAAAAATTAAATATAAGAATGGTACACACCATTTATATATGATATTACTGTATGTCTACAAAAAATTTGTTGTATCCACATAATGATTTATCAATAGATGAAAATACAACGTATCAGCGATATCATTGTTAAATTCAATTTTTCCACAAGGGTGTCCCCTAACATTCAAGCAAATCTCACATGGAATCCTGATCTTTATTTCAGATTATTAGCATAAGTGGCACACAATTATCAGTGGCTTTTCGAGCCTAATGATGTGACTCAATGCCCTTAATTAAAGTGCTTTGTGTGAATAATACTTGCACTTCCTCAAAAAAGCTGCCTCATATTTTGAATAAAAAAGGAAAAAAGCATCCCACTAAAACACTTAAATAGTCCTTATCTCACTAACTAGAAAATCTAATATCAAAGAAAAGTGAAACATAAAAGAGAAAACTAGTCAAAGGGCAAGTTTGACAAGGAACCCATGTAAAATCACTTTAGAAAGATAAAATTAGGTCACCCATAAATTGGATTAATGCAAGAATAAGCACAAATTCGGTACACTAGTGATAGCTCCCTTATGTTCTTTTTTCTTTTTTGTTGCATTTGCTTCCTCAAAGAAAGCATCGAATTAATTCCGTTAAAAATACAAACATTGATCGTAGAACATGACACAAAATAAATATGACTTGGACAAAATTTAATAAGTATTGAAAAATTTTATATATCTATTTATATTCTGTATTTAGATCTGTGACTGATTTTGTGTTTAAAGTAAACTGCTTGCAATTTTATGTGTATTTTTATTCTCTTTACTTCAAAGAAAGCATCGAATTAGTTCTATTATAAATATAAAAATTGATCAGAGAAATGACACAAAATAAATATGACTTGGACAAAAGTTGACAAATTTTGAAAAATCTTATATATCCATTTATATTCTGTAATTGATTTTGTCTTTATAGACTTATTCCCTGTCTAGTAGGAACTAAATTGCGTGTAATCTTACGTGCTTCTTCTGAAAATTACAAGGTAGGAAAGTCCCAAAGACTATATTTTCTTTTGCCTAGTATATTGAAGCTGCAATACTACAATTGATCTCTTTATTACACCTTTTTTTTTCTTCTAGGTTATTGTCATTCATCAATGTCATAAGACATTTAAGCCTCAAACTTTCTTCAAGTTCATGCCCAAAGAGTTTCCCAAGCTGGGGCAAAACTTCCATCATCAAGAGACAAGCTTGCATTATCATCATACAATGCTTGTTCATGTTGGAAGATAGGTTCTTCAGATTGTGACATTTCCATGCAAAGCAAAGCCACCAAATTAGCTTGTTGACACTGCATGTTAACAACCTCTGCTTGTGTCTTAGCCAATTCTGCTTGGAGCTCACTAACTTGCTTTTGAAGCTGGAAAATTGCGCCAGCGCAACCATAAACCGGGTCCCTAATCCTAGCATTCGCTTCGTAAACCATGCTGCTCACTGCATCTGCTCTCTGAGACTCGGGAAGTTCCTATAAAGAATTCCGACATACAGCATAATTAGTATTACTAGTTTGGTTTATGTCAATGTTTGAAGTTGAAAAAAATGGCATCTTCATTCCACTAAGTCCAAGTGCATGGCCATTTTGAAATGAAAATTGAATAGTTCAATAATGCTACGCGGGAAAAAAATAACAGATCTGAAAGGTACATTGATTTTTATGTACTTTTTCGTCTACACTTTTGTATGCATATAGCATTACTGATCGCAATATAATTAGGACATGTTTGATTGAGTGGATTAGAGTATGGAATTAGAATTATTAATCCGTGGGTCCAATTATCCTATGTTTGTTTTAACACTTTAGTTTAGGATTATTAATCCAATAGATAATTAATCCAACAAATTTGTATGATTATTAGTAATGGGGTAGGGGTGGGATTATTAATCCCATTGAATAATGAATACCACACTAATTTAATAGAATTATTAATATTTCATTATCAATCTTGTGAATCAAACATAACCTTAGAATAATTTACAAGAGTACCCTATTGAGAAATGTATTCAATGGTGATTGATTGGAATGAATGGTTGATAGAAAACCTCAAACATGCTTTGAAATTTGAAGCATGCAATGACTTCTAGTAGGTAATTGATGAATTTAAAATTTGTTAAATAAGACTTGACTCAAGTTGAGAGCAACAACTCCTCCTCGCCTTCTAGTTCAAAAAAATATAAACAAATTATAATGGTGATCCCTGAACTATACTTCTTATGTTATTTTAGCCCTTATATTTTTAAGTGACTCGATTTTGACAGTAAATTTATAATTCTATCTTAATTTGGTCTAATTAATTACAACTCTTATTATTTTTTTTATGAAAATACATACTTAAGTGTCACGTATGATATTTTTAAGGGTAAAATTATAAATTTATTTAGCTCAGTTAATTAATCTCAACCAATTTAGGGATAATTTTTCTTAAAAAATACTAATGATATTATTAATTGGACCAAATTAAAATAAAATCTAAAATTAAGAATTAAAATTGAGTCACTGAAAAGTGTATGGCCTAAAATAATACAAAAAATAAAATATAGGGACCACGTGTAAAATTTATTTAAAAAAAAATTTCTTGTGAGAGAGAATGACAATGTCAACTTTTTGAAGCCATACATGACAAGACGTGGAGCCCCATTCACCGAATAAAGAAGTGCTTGGCTAATCAAGTTCAAAACTGTTTTTGAAATTAATTAAAAGTATTACCTGCTTTATTGAAGGTGATAATCTAAAGAAGAAAAAAAAAAAAGAAGAAAACCCAATTATATATATATAAATTTTGACAATGACATATAAATAGAAAAAGAATACATAATTTGTATATAAAAGGATATAGTTATATTGAAATTTATCACTTGAAAATAAAATATCTATTAAAGCGACATTTAATTGTAGAAATGTGATCCTATAAAATAATTGGTTGAGGTTTTAAAATATGTTTTCTTTTTTTAAAAATTTAAACCAGTTTAATGAAAGTAACAACAAAGTATTTTCAAATTTCTAAAAATTATTTTTTCTTCCAAAAAAAAAAAACACCAATTTTAAAGAAAGTAAACAACAAAGTAATTTTTTTTCACCAAATTATTTTTAAAAAGATGGAGCCCAAAAAAAAAATTTAAAAACTAACCCAGTAAGTGAATAGTATTTTCTTTCTTTTTCTTTCCCTTTTTTTTATTTTTTATTTTTATTTTTTATGTGGAAGTCAACCATGACAAAACCAACTACATTCATTTTTTCCTAGAAGTGACTTCCAATCCAAACACGACCCAAGAATCTAACTTAATATGTTTACATTGAACTCAATGAAGGCTCCAAGAAAGCTCAATGAGCATACAAATACAATTTTTTATTCTTTATTTATTTATTTTTACCTGCAACAATTTGATGATATTGCTAGCTCCAAAAACTCTATGAGCAATGGTGAACCGGAGTGGATCAGTAGGCGGAAAGTATGGCGCCAGAACACATTTCTCTGCGCAGCGGCGTCGGAGAATTTTGCATGCTGCACATGGGCTCATAACAACCACCGCCGGCGGAGGAGGAGAGGGAGGAGCACCACCACCACCACCACCACTAGACTGGGTTGGAGAGGAAGATGTTGAACGAGGAGGGGATGATGATGGTGTGAAGAAAGAGCTTGTGGACACTGTGATGGTGGTTGTCCTGTCACTGCATTCCATTTTTAGAGAGAGAGAGAGTTTTGGAGGTGATGAGAGAGAGAGAGAGAGAGAGAGAGAGTAGGGGGAGGATGATAAGTATTTGCTTTAGGAATTTTGAGAGCATAAAAGGAGAGAGAGGAGATATATATAGAGGGGGAAAACCCGCCAAGGGGGGCACATAAGCATTGTTTTGATCAACAACAGTGGGCACATAAGCATTGGTCTCATGCTTACGTCATTCACCGCATAATTTATTGTGACGTGGTTATTCAACTTTTATTTATTTATTTTTAGAAAACAATTATTAACCTTTAAGGGTTGTTTGGAATGATCTAAATAAGTGTATTTTTTGACTTTTTATGAAATATGAGTTGAATTTGGGTTGGATTTAAAGTGATGTGTTAGATAAATGATATGATTTAAATAAGATAATGTGACTTAAATAGGATAGTGACTTTTTAACTTTTTAATTTTTTTAAAATTTGTCAAACCAAGCCTTAGTAACGTACATAGAAAAACCTGCAAAATGTCCTTATAGCAAGGTGAAAAGTAATTTACTTTATTTTTTAAAAATTTTAAAAAGAATTTAAAATTCATAAAAACTATTTTACAGTTGATAAAATTGTTCGGTTGCATTTCTCTCACCCATTTTTCTCTACATATCATTTTCATATTACAAGATCTACAAATCCTAAATTAAATCGTTCATGAAATCTACATATCTTAAATCGAATTGCAATCTTACGATCTGGAGAGGAGATGGATTTACAAGAAGAGATGGTTGGGGTAGAGGCTGGGAGAGCGAAGAAAGGTGAGGGAGGCATTGGCTAGTAGTGGATTAACTTGAGTTCGCAAGTATGTGAGGAAGAGAGCAAAAAGAAGATTAGAGGGACAAAATAGAGGGTATTTTAGTAATTTTATAATTATTTTAAAACAATTTTGTAATTATCTTGCATCCTTCTAGGTATATTGCAATTATTTTTTGACTTCCAACTCTTTTTACTTTGGGGTAGTTATGTGTAGATCCTAATAAGTGAACTTATTGTCTAATAGGTCCTATGAGAAAAATTTGTTATAAAAAACGTCACTATTTGTAAGTTTTAGCGATAATTTAAAAAAATCATGACAAAAAAAAGTCACTAATTGTCAATTTTTAGCGACATATAAAAAATATCACAAAAAAATTATTTTTAGCGACAATTTTACCAAGACTTATTTTCAATAAAACTTAATAAAAATTAAGTTCAACTATTAGGACTTATTGATAATTTATTCTTTTACTTTTTGACCTTCTCATTTATTTGCAATTCTCCCTAATTATTAACCACAATAAAATACATAAATAAAACTTGCAAAATAAATATTTAACACAAGTCGGCATTTTTTTCACTTGAGTCAAGAATGCAAGTGTGACACCATAGTTAACACGGGTGAACAAGGTTGCGGCAAACGAAAAACCAACAAGTTGAAAAGGTGGACTGATCTGTGTCAAAAAATTTAAAAACTAACCCAGTAAGTGAATAGTATTTTCTTTCTTTTTCTTAAAAAAAAAAAAAAGGAAGAAGAAGAAGAAGAAGAAGTTAGAGCATCTCCAACGGTGACTCAAAATTTTCACCAAATCTGAGTCAAAAATGACTTATTTCACCAAATTTGATACTACTCGCTCCAACGGTTCACCTTTCACCAAATCTATCCCGGGACAACCAGGTGGTCAACCGGTTAGGCAAAATTTTTTTTTTTTTTTTTTTTCGCGAATTGTCTAAACTTTTTTTTTGAACTTTCTGAACTTTTTTCGGGACGACCGAGGTGGTCGACCGGCCGGTTGACCGGTTAGGCAAATTTTTTTTTTTTTTTTTTTTTAACGGTTTGAATTTTTTTTCCTGAACTGTTTGAATCTTTTACTGGTTGACCGGTTAGTCAACCGGCCAGGCAACCGGCTGGTTGACCGGTGTACCTCTTTCAACGGTCAGTAACAGTGATTTGGTAAAATTTGTGTCTCGTTCTCAATTTGATACTTTTTTTGCTGAAATCTCATTTTGATATCAATCTGGTGCAACAGTTAGAGCATAAAAAAGTGCCTTTTTCATCAAAATTTGAATCTGATATCAACTTTGATTCACCGTTGGAGATAGTCTTAGTAGATATCATTTTCTACTATTAATCAAAAAATAAAAAAAAATAAAAATCATCCAATTGATCATTTTCACTTTTCCCACAAAACAAGTACTCATTTAAAAGGTAATCGGTATCGTTTTCTACTATGAAAAATAAAATCCAAATCCACCTATTGAAAGCGTGTTTAATTATTATTATTTTTTTTTTTTGGAATTTTGTTAGTTAGTATCCTTAAAATACTCAACACCCATATTTTATTTTAAGACAAATTACAAATACACCCATTGAAATTTTTTTAAAATACAAATTATTTTCTTATAATTTGAAAAATTATAAATACTTCTTATCAGAAATTTTTATTTATCAGAATTAATTGAATTTTTTTTTTCTACTGCTCTCCTATGCAATAATAAAATTACTTGAATTATTAATTAAAATAAATTTCTGACATAATTAAAAACTGTTAATTAACTTGATAATTTATTAATAAAATGTGTAATTTGTTATGAAATTAGAAATTTTAAGAGATGAGATGTAATTTTTAAAATTACAGAGAAAGTTCATATTTTAAGTAAATCTCAGAAAACTTATTTATAATTTACCCTTTATTTTGTTTCCCTCACAATTCAAATCAGTGTAATGATTTTTTATTTTTAGCTGTGAGCGTGAATTTATTGGTTTGTTCTTTTGTAAATAATAGTTTAAATTATCAATAAAATTTTATGAACATCTGTCTTGCCAAAAATATTGCCAATCAACTAAGGCCAAGTTTGGCAACTCAAAAATAATCAATCTTTTTATTTTTTTATCTTTTTTTCATCACATCACCTCTCTATTTTTCTGTACATCTTTTTATAAAAAGACAAAAAGTGCACTTATTTAGTTTATCCCAAACAACCCTTAAATATCAATTATGAATTTAAACTTAAATAGCTCATTTTATAAAATAAAATGTGATTTATTCATTTATTAATCAATATTTGATAGAATTATTTTTTTGCATAAATAATTTTCACTACAAGATTTACGAAATGAATGATTTGAATTATCGGTATAGATTCAGAGTGGAGCCTATAAAATAAATTATGAAGGAGTATGGAGGATAATAAAAAATTGGACAAATTTCACTTTATCTCCTTATGGTTTAATCTATGTGCGGATTATACTCTCTTATTTAGAAATAATCATATAACCCTCTTGTATTAAATATTTGTCAAACTTAACGGTAACTGTAAAACACATGTTAAACATAAGAGAGTTATGTGTACTTATTTTCAAAATTTAAAGGATAAATCACATGTAAAATAAAGTATAAAAAGTAAAAATACATTTTACTTCTAAAAAAATGATGAAAAAATTTATAATTCAAATATTTAAATTATTTATACAAAGGAATATTTTAAATTTTTTTTTAAATTATTAACGGTTCTAACTATATATTTCAATTCACAAATCATAAAGAAACATACGAGGTAATCCGCACACCAATTAAACCAGTAAATTTACCTTAAAAAATAGTGATATAGAGAGGAGATCTTCCCTAAAAATGTTATAGATCTTATATTTTTTTATTAAATAAATGATCAAATATCTTACATAAATATAAACTCTATACTTTTACTTTTGTAGATACTCCATTTATAAATATCTCTAGCATTACTCATCTTTTCCCGGCAAATCGGAAAGAATGACACGTGGGAGAGTTATGCCAGCCTAAAATAACTCAATTTTTGGTGCCGACTGTTTTACTTTTTCTTTTTTTTTTCTTTTTTGAAGTTTTACGGGAAAAAAACAAAACAAAAAAACAAAAAACAAAATCAAATTTTGACTTTAAAAAAACAGATGCTGCCACGAGTTGAGACACATACGTACCTTCTTTCAACCACCGTCTACAACTACTCAATGACGTGGCGATTATCTGAAAGTGATTAGTACTTGTATATAGCGTTGGTTTGAGATATTTTAAATAATTATATTTTTTAATTTTTTATAAAATAATATATATGAAAGTAAAGAGAAAATATTAATTGATGTGATTCAAATAAGTGTAGTTATGCAAAAAAATGCACTTATATAGTTTGACTTTGTTTTAAAATATATTTTTTTATAAAATTTAATTAAATTATTTATATTTTTGAATATATAAAATATTTAAAATAATTATTAAATTGGAGAAAAAAATAATTTAAATTTTAAATAATAATTTAAATTATTTATTTTAATAATTTTTATAATAAATTTCATAAAAATAAATATTTTTAATATTTAATTTTTAAAAATGTGAAAAAAGTAGAATAAAATTAATTGGTAAATTTTTTTTTAGTATGCATAATTATATTAAGTTTTGTTTATGGGTAATTTAGATTAAGTAGAAGTATTTTAAATATTAAATTTTAGAAAAAAAAATTGAAAAGGTTATATTGATTTGAAATTTTAATAAAAAGAAAAAAAAATGAGGATGAGCTACATAGGAGAGAGAAAAAAGTTAAAGGTAAATAATATTTTTTATTTATTTTGATAATCTTAATCCTATTGTTTTATAAAAATATTATTTAAATCAACACATATAATAATTTTAAATAAATTATTTGTATACATTTTAATAATTTTAGCTCTATCGTACTATAAAAATATAAATTAAATAAATATATATAATAATTTTAAATTATAACACAAAAAATGAAATATTCATTTGATAATTTTAACCTTTCTTACTACAAAAATGTAACTTAAATAAATATATATAATGAATTTATATGATATTAAATTATAACTTGATATTAGAAATAATTGCTATACAATTAAAAATGATTCTAATTATTTAAGAAATTCATTATAATTAATATTAATATTATAAATAAGATACACATAAAAATAAGAAATAATTTTAATATTTTATTTAAAAAAAGTATAATAAAATTAATTGGTAAAGTATTTTTAATATATATAATTCTATTAGGTTTTGTTTATGGGTAATTTAGATTAAGTAGACATTTTTTAAATAT